TAATGATGAGCTGTGGGAAGCATCACAATAGTTAGGGATATGGAGGTAATAACCCAGACAGTTGAAAGGGATACCACCACTATGTCACAAGAGCCATGTGATAACACATCTCTAGAGCCGGTGGGTCTTGAACCCAGATTTCCAGGTCCAGAGGTGGAGAAAGTACCACTGTTTTGCAAGAGCCCTGTTTCTCTGGTTTTATGTGGTGATACATTCTTAAGTTTGCTCTTTCAGTTTCTTCCTGCCACAATCTAGTCATCATTACCTAAAGCACCACCTTGCTCTATTACCTCATTGGTTTCCTTTGATTTATCACCTCTCCTCTTGCACAATTCATTCTTCCCACTATTTAGTTCAAAGCCCTCTTTACTGCTCTAGGTAAATGATTTGCCAGAACACTGGCCCCAGTATAGTTCAGCTCAAGACTGTCCCAAAGGCTAGAACACCCACATTCCCAGTAATGATGCCAATGGCTATGAATCAAAAATTAAGTTATCACACCCAAACTTTGAAGCATACTTGTCTAACCTTATTTACACTACACCATATTGCAAAAAAGGATTAAACTCAACAAGTGATTGATAACTCTTAACTGGTAAAATCAAAGACATCTTAAAGGGGCCTCAGAGCCTCATAAGGCAACTTAGCTGGATCACGCACTTTTAATTCCCATCTGACAAAATAATTGGAAGCATAAATAGCTACGTCAGAGTGCTACATTGCAAAATGCAAAATCTCAGGATTATTCATCTACTTACAGGTCAAGACAGCTCGTAACAGTAAACAGCAAAGAAGAACCAGAGACAGATAAAAGCCTTTGGTTTCATCAGGCATCTACCCAGCTCATTACTGAACACGAAAACATCAAAAAAATAGCAGACAATGAAACTAGGAAGCTCCACTGAGCCCAGATGCATTGTCATCAAATTGTTCATATTTCAGTTGCCCAATTCAGTCACGGACACATAAACATCCATTCAGTCTCAGGATCAGTGCATTTAATAGGTTTAAAACTGCTAACTACTCCATGATAAAGATACATTTTGACTCTACCCTTTTGCTTTTGCAGGCCTAGAACAGTAATGAATTATTAGCCATGGTATTGAGGATTCTCAGCAAAATGTATAATGAGAAAACAAATTGAATATGGATGAAGTGGAACATCTTTTTTGTGTTCAGCATTACATTATGGATGAGAGTCCTGTGGTTGATTAGATACCATCGATTACCAAAACAGAACTGGGCAACCTGGTTGTGCCGTTGTTCTAGGTCATTGAGTTAAAAGCCAAATTTATTGGTCCTTCTGAAGAAATTATCAATCTCTATTATCTTCACAAACAGAAAATTTTCTCATAGCATTACATTAAATGGACTAAAGGAATTAAGATTGGAAAAAAAACATTAGTTATATTGTTGACTGCTAACCAGTAATCCATGGTGTATGCTGCCAGACATCTTCAGCCACAGATGCCTAATGGATGATCCAATCTTGGCCTCCTTCAGAGATCCTCAGCGTCCCAGATACCAGTCTTCAGTCAATATGATTAACTCCACATGATATCAATAAACATTTGGAGGTACTGGAAACTGCAAAGGCTATTAGCCTTGACAATAATCTGGCAACAGTACTGAAGAATTGTTGTCCAGAACTTGCCGCTCCCCTATCCAAGCCATTCTAGTACACTGGCATCTACCTGGCAATGTAGAAAATTAACAAGGCATATCTTATACACAACAGCAGGGCAAATCCAACTGGGTCAATTATCACACTGTCAATGTACTCTCAATCATCAATAAAGTGATGGAAGGTGTCAACAACAGTGTTATCAAGTAGCACCTGCTCAGTGATGCACAGTTTGGGCTTCGCCAGGGCCACTCAGCTCGTAACCTCATTACATTCTTGACTCTAACACCAACAAAAGAGTTGAATTTCAAAGATGAAGTGAGAGTGACAGCCCTTGACATCAAGGCTGCATTTAACCTAGCAAGGCATCAAGGAGCCCTAGCAAAACTGGAATCAATGGGAATCAGGGCAAACTCTTCGTTAATTGGAGTCTTACCTGGAATATAGGAAGATGTTTGTAGTTCTTGGGGGTCAGTCATCTTAGCTCCAGGATATTTCTGCAGGAGTTCCTCAGGGCAGTTTTCTAGGCCCAATCATCTTCAGCTGCTTCATCAATGACCATTCCTCCATCATAAAGTTAGAACTGGGTATGTTTGTCAACAACTGCACAATGTTCAGCACCATTCATAAGTCCTCAGATAGTGAAGTAGTCCATGTTCAAATGTAACAAGATCTAGACAGGCTTGGGTTGACAAGTGGCAAGTAACATCTGTGCCAGACAAATGCTAGGCAATGAGCATTTTCAATAAGAAACAATCTGACCGCTGCCCAATTAAATTCAATGGTACTATCATCACTGAATCCCCACTATCAATGGCCTGGGGATTATCATTGAACAGAAACTCAACTGGACTGGCCATATAAATACAGTAGTTACATCAGCAGGTCAGAGGATAGGAATACTGCAGTGAATAATTCAGTCCTCAACGTCTGTTCACCATCTACAAGGCACAAGTGAGGAATGTGATAAAATACTCCCCACTTTCCGAGATGGGTGCATCACCTGCAACACTCAAGAGGCTTGACACTGTCATGAATAATTCTGTCCACTTGATTGGTACCACACCTGCAAACATTCACTCCTTCCACCACTAATGCTGAGTAGTAGTAATGTGTATTGTCTACAAGATGCACTGCAGAAATTCCCCAGAGATCCTTAGATGGCATCTTCCAAACCCACAACTACTTCCAGCTGGAGGGTCAGCAGATACATGGGAACACCCTGAAGTTCCCCCAAACCAGTCACCACCCTGACTTAGAAAGTCCTTTCATCCTTCCTTCAATGTCACTGGATCAAAATTCTGGAATTCCCTCCCTTAAGGGCACTGTGAATCTAGCTATTGCACATGAGCAATGACGGTTCAGGAAGGCAGGTTACCACCAATTTCTCAAGGGGAACTATGGCCAGACAATAAATGCTGGCCAGCCAGTGACACCTACAACCCACAAGCGAATGAAAAAAAAATGATGCGGGCAGATTATAGGTCAATGACGTACCCATCACGTCAAATAGCCTGCCACACTGTATCTAAACAATACAACCACATGTTTGAGGAAAAGAACCACCACATAATACCACTGGATGAACTAATCAGAATTTTAAGAATTTAGACAAGGCTGTAGTGATGAGAGAAAAGCAGAAGAAAGCAGTGGACTAAATAACAGGTTCCTGAACAAGATTTTGGTGATAGAAAAAGCAGATGATTGTACACAATGACTGAACAAAATAATGAATGATGAATACAAAGTAAAAGGTATGGAACTGTTTACATACTTAAGAAGATGTACACCCTGCCCAGGAATACATGGGAGAAATTAAAGATCTTTTACCCTTGGCAAAGTGTTCTGACAAACTATGATAAACCAATCTGTAAGAACAAAGGCGAATATGAAATGTGAAAAGAGTATATTACACCAATGTCTAAAGAATGCAGGAGGCTTGAATTCACAAGCAGCTAAGACATAGTGAGCTTAAGTGTTTACAACACATTATGTTGGGTGTGAGCCAGGAGCATACAGAAACTAAAGGATAATATGTAAAGCTTTGCGAAAGGATGGTTTTCAGCAAGGAAATAAATTAGGTTAAACTGGCTGTGTCTGCGTCATATGGAATTATGATGAATGGCTAATTGAGCGAGGTAGCAAAGATCTACTGTGTTAATGAAACTAATCCAGCAAGAGTGAATACCTAGAATCATTGAAATTCACAGCACACAAGGAGTCTAATCATGCCAGTGCTGGCTCTCTGAAAGAGCAATTACGGTTCGTCCAAAATCCTCACTTTTTGTCTGTATCTCTAAGTTCTGCATCCTCAATTGCCTGTCCAACTCCCTTTTAAAATTTTCCACGGAATCAACATTTTCCCACTTTTCCAGTAGATCACTCAAGGATCATGAAATCATAAAAATATTCTCATCTCCCATCTACATATTTTTGCAATCAGCTTGAATTTACTGTATGTTCTCCTGTTATTCACCCACTCATCAGAGTGAATAGTTTTTTCTCTATTCACTTTATCAAAACTTTACATCACCTTGAAATCTCCAAGAGGTAACCTTGTAACATTGAATCAGAGATAGTAGGAACTGCAGATGCTGGAGAATCTGAGACAACAAGGTGCAGAGCTGGATGAACACAGCAGGCCAAGCAGCATCATAGGAGCAAAAAGGCTGACGTTTC